AGTAACTTTAAGCCCTGTCTGGACCAAACTTGCATGAATGATGCATCTAGGGATGGACACTACCACACTTGCTTCGATGCTGAATCTGACCTAGATTTTCCAGATGAGTGACCAGGTTAAAGTTTTTGGAGCAGGTCCATTCCCAAGTAACTATAAGCCCTGCCTGGACTTGACTTGATGGATGATGCATATAGGGATGTTCACTACCACACTTGCTTCGGATGCTGGATCTGAGCCAGATTTTCCGGATGAGTGACTAGGTAAAGATTTTGAAACAAGTCCATTCGCAAGTAACTATAAGCCCTATCTGGACCAAACTTTAATGGATGATGCATCTAGGGATGTACACTAACCAACCTGCTTCGGATGCTAGATCTGACCTAGATTTTCCACATGAGTGAATTTTAGCCATATTTTAACCAAATTAGCATGGATGATGTTTCTACGGATGGACACTTCCAGACTTGCTTTGGATTCTTAATCTGACCTTCTTTTTCTACATGAGTGACCAGGTTAAAGTTTTGGGAGTAGCTATTATATAAATAGTGCACGTTTTTGAGGGTAACAGTTGAAATTGACACCCCAAGGAAAACCATTGTCAACCGACGCGTCAGCGGAGGTTGACAATGGTTTTCCGAGGGGTGTCAATTTCAACTGTTACCCTCAAAAACGTGCACTATTTATTTTATTATACTGAATGTCTTATTGATTTCGGATGTCATAAAAAAAAAATTCGGAGATCGTCGTTAAGTTCACGCTTAGAAAGCTCTCAAACTCCCCGCTTCTATTTTTCTCAATAAGAAAGCTTCGGAAAAGATTTACCAACCTCTCTATTGTTTGTTTGCTACTCAAAAAGTCCTTTATCATCTAAAGTTTGCCTCGCAAGGATGTTTCGTCTGTTGTTTTCAAGTAAGCTACATCGGACGCAAGCTTTTATTGACGTCGTTTATTCGGCTTCTTTCAAACGCACAACCGACGTTTTGAGAATTCTACGGTGAACCGTACGCGCATGATTTGAACGCATGTGATATTTTCGTAATGTTACCTGTTTTCAAGTGTGTTGCTAACGCTGAGGGTAACATTACAGATTGTTAAATGCGTCTAAACCAATCAGATTTTAGTATTTAACATGAAAGTATAATAAATAATATTATGGCCTGTTATGAATTTACTTGCATAGATGGTGCATCTAAAGATGAAAACTTCCAGACTTGCTTTGGATGTTGGAACTGACCAAAAAATTTCTTGATTAGTAAATAGTTTAAAAGTTTTTTGAGCAGGTCTTTTTCCAAGTAACTATATGTCCTACTTAAACCAAACTTGCATGGATATTGATCTTAGGATGTACACTAACTAGAAAAAAATATGATGTGAGATTTGCCTTACTTGATAGATAACATTCGTCGAGGTGAGCTTCGTAATCTTTGATTACCTATGTTTGAAATTCTTTGGCAACATTGCTTCATCTATCAGTTAATTTTGTTTTATACTTCCATGGATCCTTTACAGTGTTGTATTATACTCATGTGACCGTTAAGGTCCTTGGGCCTCTTGTTAATTTTCTTTTTCGTTTATTGAAAAATACAGATTGTCTGACTTGCTTTAAAAGTTTAGGATCCATCTGTCTGTTTTGGTTTTTGCTGCATTTTACAAACATATAAACTATGTTGATGAAGTTTAGGTAAGAGTCATGGAGGAATAAATGTGTAATTCTGTGATTTTTTAACATTCATCATTGTGTTTTATAATTCCTAAAATAAAAGAAAATAAAAACCCACCTACGTACCCTCCTTAATAAAAATTGGTCCGAGTACATCAAACAAAAATATTTTTATTTCAAAAGAACCCCATCAAAGCTCCAGTCAGAACTCCTGACCCAGGGGCCATGAAATTCACAATTTTGAATCATAACTATGTATTTAGTTTGTTTGCTTAACACCAAGGGGCAGAGGAGAAGATTTTCAAATCTTTAAATCATTTTTAGTCTATAATAAATAAGCAGAGAAGATTTTCAAAGTATTTATGCATTTTCACTATATATATAATCATTAGAGCCCCACCCTAACACCAGAACCCCTGACCCAGGGGCCTTTAAATTCACAATTTTGGAAGAGGCACTCTCTTTCTCATCATAACTATGTACTTAGTTCAGTGGCTTAATAATCAGGAGAAGATTTTCAAAGAATTGATGCATTTTTTCACTATACATGTATAATCATTAGAGTCCCACCCTAACACCAAAACCCCTGATCCTGGGGCCATGAACTTCACAATTTTGGAAAAGGCACAATCTTTCTCATAATAATTATGTACTTAGTTCATTGGCTTAATACCAAGGGACAGAGGAGATTTTCAAAGCATTAATTCATTTTCAGTATATAATAAATAAGCCCCCCCCCCCCCCCCCCCCCCCGCAACAGAACCCCTGACCCAGGAGCCATGAAATTCACAATTTTTGAAGAGGCACTCTTCCTCATAATAACTATGTACTTAGTTTATCAGCTTAATACCCAGGAGCAGAGGAGAAGATTTTTAAAGAATTAATGCATTTTCACTATATAATCATTAGAGCCCTGCCCTATCACCGGAACCCCTGACTTAGGGGCCATGAAATTCACAATGAACAATGATGCCATGGTTACTAAAAGTAGAAATTTCTGTTATATACTTTCAAAACACTCCTTCTCCTACAGTTTTAGTCTGCTTTCAATAATTTAGCACAAAAGTAGACTACACTGAGGTACACAATTTTCTTGACTGAGTAGCTGTTGATAAATGGTGTTGCCCTGGTTACTAAAAAAAAGAAATTTCTGTGAAATACTACTCCTCCCAGTTTTGCTCTGATATCAAAAAATCTTGCAAGATAGGAACTTTTTTATTTTGCAGAGTAATAAGAATTATGTATCTCAGTGTAGTCTACTTGTGTGCCAAGTTATGCTGAAATCAGACGAAAACTGTAGGAGGAGTAGCAAATTGAAAAAAAAAAATGTTTACAAACAGACAGACAGCTAGATGGATGGACGATGGACACCTTACTATCCAAAAGCTCTTCTGGTCTCTGACCAGTAGAGCAAAACAAAAAACAAAAAAAAAAACCACAAGTCTCTTACAAGATTGTAGCTCTACTGGTTTGTATTTACATCAAAGGAAGAGAAAAGTAGCTCCTTGACTCGAAACTATGCAACATCAATAAATAGAATAATGATCCCTGGTTTAGTCTCTTTTTGTGGCAAGATTTATTGAAATCAGATTAAAACTGTAGGATGAGAAGTGTTTTCAAAAAAAATTCTTAGAAATTTCTACTTTTAGTAACCATGGCAACACTGTTCAACAAAATCAAAATACAATATTAAGAACTATGTACCTCAATGCAGTCTACTTGTGTGCCAAGTTATACTGAAATCAAACCAAAACTATAGGAGTAGCATTTTTAAAGTATTTCACAGAATTTTCTATTCTTTGTAACCATGGCTACACATTTCATTGAAATCAAAAACAAATTTAAAGAATCATATATGTCAGTGTTGTATACTTATCATTATGTGCCATGTTATATTGAAATCAGACCAAAACTGTAGGAGGAGTAGCATTTTGAAAAATTGTTCACAGACAGACAGACAGCTAGACAGATGGACGACGGACACCTTACTATCACATAAGCTCTTCTGGTCTCTGATCAGTAGAACTAATGACTAAGTTCAACAACTGGTTTATCAAAAATCAAAATCCAAGTAACATGCACATCTCTGGTATATATACAGTTGATCTACAAAAAAGTTCTTGTCTAGAAAACTGTAGGAGTTATCTGGACAATGTACCCTTTTGGCTTCACCCATCCGCCAATTTCACCACTTCAATAACTGACCTTTTCTACGGAAAGCCCAAATGAAAGTCTATCAGTACAAAAATTTACATTTTTCATAATCTTATACCAAACACCTGTGTTTATAAACCTACATATTCCATGGGCCATGATTTGAACAAACCTGATTCTACATTAAATTTACTACATGTAAGCTATTGTGGTCCTGCTGTTCTTCAGATAAAGGTTTTTACAGATATTTTCTATACATACTGGCATTCCTAGATAAAACCCTGATTTCATGTTGCAGTCCATCCCATCCCCAGGGGACATCAATTGAACAAAGTTGAATCTACCCTACATATAAGTGGTTCTTGAGATTTTTAAATGATCCCACCAATTTTCACTACATGTATTTCTTAATCGTCTTCCCTTGAAACAGGGTGTGAATCTTCCTCAGAACAAACTTGAATTGCTTGATACTCAGATGACAACCAAGGCCCATGAGCCTTATATAAATGTAAAGAGAAATTTACATGGTATTATATATAAAAATGGCACGTACATATACCAAGTATTTATATATATGGATTTGACTTGACTGCTTTTTATAGAGATTGTTCCATCATTAAAAAATTCTCAGGCTATTTCAAATTCTGTCTCTATGGAACTGGTCAGGAACTCTCTCGACTTGTGCGACTTTCATTTTACAATTTAGTGAGGGCTTTATGATCTTTAATCATATTCAAGTAGTAAACTCAGGTGACCTAAAAATTATAACCTACTGGACACAGGAATATAAGCAGCAGTCATATTTAACAATAGGTTTAGGAGGCAATATAAAATTATTCATTTAATGACATCCATTTCTTCAGCAAATGCACTGTTCAGGCATAAACACTCCATTCCTTGGTTATGAGCAAACTAAAACTGTCCTACCCATTATATTTCAGAGACAGGAAATTATCATTAGGTAAGTGGGACATGCACCAGAAATGCTTATGGTCAATCTCGTCTATAACTTGCCTGTTAATTACATAATGATACCCATTATTCATGCAATTGAAGGCGTTAATTAATAGCAACTTATGGTACAAGAATTTTCTTTTTAAACTTGCATGATTTCTAGATGTTAATCAATTTACTTTCATCACCAAGCCCCTTTTGGTCAGAAATATCTATAACAACTAAACACAACTTAAATCAACATCACAATTTTAATGAGGTAAAAAAAAGTTGACATATTCTAAAGCATTTTCATATTGGTAAACACCTTTTACATCTATTAATAGCATGTTATAAGGCACAATATTTACATGCTGCATGGATACAACCTATCATATACATGTTAGAGTAAAATATCAGAATTAAAAGTGAATGTAAGATCAAGGCACAGTCCATAACTTAAATAATACGTCCCGTCTTCAGACGGGCGTACAAAAATCAGTTGTTTTAAAAAAATATAAAAAAAATTCTTAACATTAATTTTTTGATAAGAAAAATTTTTGTGACCTGCCACATGTGATTACAGATTTAAACCAAACTGAATGAAATATCAAGAACTTGAGAAAAAATTATGCACCTGGGCACATATATAAAAGGTTTTTGAACTTTTATAAAATGTTATAAAACTTTTATATAGAAAGTTTACTGGAATGAAATTTGAAATATATTTTACCAAAGATTTATCACAACTAATTTTACTTAAAGAAAGAATAATTGATCAGGTTTGTAAATGATATGTCTCTATCTGTTCTAGTGAGGTAATTGTACACTTTACAACTTTTTGATGAAATTAAAACCATACTGGAATGAATCACTTGTACAAAGGTAACACAGATAATTTTGTCATAAACTTAAAGCTTAAAACAAAGTAATCCTCTGAAGATCTTTGGTACAGCATAATTATTTTGTTCATCAATACATGTACTTGCAAAATCCTAGTTTTTATTTTAACATCTCCTTATCTACTAAAGCTTATTGATGATACCGATTTCTAAAAAAAAAAATTCTGAAAGATTATAAAATGCAGCAATTATTCCAGTATCAAAATAAAAAGACAACTGAAAAATGTTCTACCTTCATTAATACTGCTGTAAAAAATGTTTTAAAAAATTCTAAACAACACACACTGGCCAGTGGAATTTCAGGTGCCAATCATTCATGAACATGTATGATATATAAAACTGTGATTAAACTCTTTCAATAAACCTCTCAGTAAGATAAACAATTGATTCATAACATAATGATTCCACTGAACACACACTATATACAAACTTTACAGCGGAAATCTTCAAGAAAAAAAAAAAGGAAGGAAAGAGAACCAGCAAAAAACAGAGGATCCGACAAGTTACAGAATCTGACAACAAGAGCTCTACATTTGTACAGGTATATCAAGCAAAAGTAAAGAGAATCAGGAACATTATTTCATGACTTTTCCCAGAGGATGTCACATCCCCCTGATGAGTTTAAAAATGGTCAGGTGAAAGTTGCTTAAAAATTTACTATAATCAATATCTTAGAACTAAAACAAAAGACAAAATGAGTATTCTTATAGCTATACCTACATACTAGTATTACAAAGTGCACCAAATTCTCGTGGAATATCAGACAAACAGGAGACAGTTTGGCACGTTTTTGTTGTATTAAGGTATATACACTTTGATCTCTCTGGTTGTTAATATATTTGTTTCAATGGGTGAAAATAAAAATTGAATGAAGGCCACTTTCAAAAAAGTCAGTATAAAATTCAGACAGCAACACTGAAACTATGAGCTCTCTGAGTTTGTGTCCTTTCTAGTTAAGGTACTAAATATTAAATAAAAATTAAAAAAAAAATTACTATAAATATAACATACAGAATAAAATCCTCTCTAAAAGCTTAAAGAAGTTTACATAAAAAACACCAATTATTGCTTACACTGGTAAAGTTTATGCATAAAGCTTTGGTAATAGCTTTTTTTCCCCCCTAAAACTATGAATAAGTTAATGTTACTAGTCCTTAGGACACAATTATTACAGAATAAAAGTCCTTGCAGGACCATCTAAAATCACAGAGAAAAGTAATGCTAACTTCTGTGCATAGCATAACATGGCTTTGATATCAATATTGGACATCACAAAATAATACTCTAAATAGATTTGTAAACAAAGCACTAACCAGAATTGTCATGGACAATGAACACATTTCACAAGTTATCCAAGAATACTATCTCAAAATGCTGATGTGTAATGTCCGCTCTGTTCACCAGGGATGCTCCCAGTAAGTTTCAAGAGTTACTCCCCTTGGACTATAACGTCAGGCACTGTTTTGTGATATGTAACAATTTTCCAGGAATCACAGAACTCTGTGCCACTTACTCCAGAAACTGGGCATTTAATGGCAGAATCCTGTTCACTTACACTGTTGGGCCCATTTAGGCAGAATTCTTCTCCTGGCATTTGTGAACCAGTAATTAATTTGATTTATAGTCAGTCCTGTTTGTTTAATTAGCATGGCCTTTTCATCATCGTTGGGATATGGGTTGTCTTTGTGTTGTCTTAACCATTCTAGCATAATGGCTACAGCCTGAAATAAAAAGTCCTCAAATTTGTACCCAAGCTTTACGAAATGATTAAAATATTTACACCAGTTTCTAAAAACTGCAAGGTAATTAACTAACATTCAAGGACTGCAGAATAAACTACTGGCAAATTTCACCTCAAATAAGCTGCAGGGTTGAAATAAACTTCCAAGTAACTGGTCAAAGAAATGGAAAGCTTAAAACTGTTTATGTACATGGAATCTATTAATCCTCATCAAAGGATCTTCCACAAAGGAAACTCATGGAGGGGTGGGGGTGGGGTGTGGTGGGGGGCTCAACAAACATTGCAACCTTCTTGGTATAACAAACATATCTTCTTTTCAATAATGAGACTACAAATACCTCTTTTGGCAGACTTGGATGTTTTTTAGACTCAGACTTTCCATGGTTGCTACTGCTGCTGACAATACTAGTAGAGTCGCTGCAATCTGCCAAATCCTTCAGTGACTTGAAATGTGGAGAACAAATGGCACTCAGATCTAGGCCTTTCTTTGCATTCGGTGAAGCAAATAACCCCTGCATCTATAACATTTTTACAATTTATTATAACAACATAGCAAAAAAAGATAAACAACCAAACAAGCTGAAATAAATTCTAACAAGAAAATAAATTATGACTGAGAGTTTTTCCCCCAGTAATTTGTTAGATGTGTAAATTACTAGATGAATTCCTTTTAACACGTAACCATAATTTTTCATTATACATTTCCACACTTAACAACCCCAATCTAAACCTCAACATTTATCTGCATAATGAATTAGAATTGCTGACTGCATTATATAATATGCCTTGCATTACTCATTTTACAGGTTTTCTAACTATCTTTTCTTGAATATGGGTAAACAGTGGAGTGAATATTTCAGAATTGTTCATGACAACTAAAAAATGCAAACAGTTTACCATCATGCCATCCATGCTGCTAAACTTGTGGTCCTTTGTGGGGGTACCCATGGTGGGGGTCATATTCCCTCCCATTGGTTGGCCGGGCATGGATGATGAGCTCACCCCTCCACTGTGGTTTGGCAACTGAAATGTTGCTGGCTGAAAAAAAGCATTGCTTATTAACTTTTATGTTATTCAGTTTCAACAACCTAAAATAAAATATTATCTTCTACATATGATCTTGACTTTTAAACAACTCAATCAGAAGAGCTTTCCTACTGATTTGGGTATCTGTTGACCTAATTAGACAACTTTTCCCACTGCTACAGGTATGCATTACAAGGCTCCAAAAATCTGACTAGGAAATGTTTTGAAATTCCTAACTGAACACTGACTTTTATACATCATATTGTTAACATCAACTATAAAGAAATTTGACATTTAATACAGGCAGTAAGTGTTGGAATTCATGTTGTATCTACCATGTAAACATAGCTTTTGGTCTTTCAATTTTCTGATAAGAGTTGAGTTTGTTTTCCAGATTATTCATTTAAAAAATCCCTCGGATGAATTTGTTATAATGAAACCTTATCAGGCAGGTGTATGACTCAGCCAGGGGCCTGCAGTCATGTCTAATCTAGTTCCCCTGGCAGGTTCTTGTTGAACTGGCCTGGAAAAGATGTCTATCATGACTGAATTAGTCGTGTGTGTGTCAGTCAAACTTCCCAGCATCCAGGCAAAAAAGAAATTAGCAATACACACAAGACCACAACTCTGCCATGCTTCAGCTAATCTCTACTTCCATCTCCCACAAAACACACACACAAAATAGTCTTTCTACAGCAATGTGTACAATTAAGTTAACACACCACCAAAGGGGCACAACTATTAAACTCCTGTCTGAAAGCTAGATCTGGTTAGGATATAGATATTTTGAGTGTTCTCTTTCTAGTGCCACTCTCAGTGAACCCAAAACAAAAGATGGGATCATATGTTTTGAATAGAGAATGCCCTTCTAACACAAACATACACAGTTGCATGTCAGGAAGTTTACTGCACCTGGTGTTTGCTTTTTTTTCTCTCTGTTTTTTAACAAAAACTTAGCCACATGAAAACAAAAAAATCTCTCAAGACAAGCTCTAATACAGAAATCAGACTCCTGGCATTTGCTCCCTTCTTTTTCCAACCATCTTCCCATCCAAGAGTATGTTAGTTACCTATTGTGAATAGTTTTTTGTCATAATGCATTCTCATTTCAATCTTTGCAAAGCTATTCAGATTGTTGAGAGTGAGCCAGCTAAAGTCGAAGTCAACAGGGGTTGACTGATGCAATGTAGTTACCCAGTATATATGCCAAGTTACACCACAGGAAAAACTAAGAAATAAAACTAAGAAAGTGGGTCTTCTGTAATTCTCTTCTGAATATGTGCCAGTAAAAATATGTGTGGTACTGGTAATCTTTCCCTCTCTTTCTTTCTCTCTTCTCTCTCTCTAACTACATGTACTTTTTAAAATTCCATTAAAATTGTTCAAAGCTTCAACCTACAATTGATGAAGTGCTTGAACTATAGGATAATTTTTATAAAAAGAACACTTATTCCTGGTCTTTTTTTTATTGGTCCCATTTAATGAATCCATTTACGGGGGCTGTTGAATGTTTCCAGTACAAACATGGTCTAATGACGGAGTGGCCAACACAAGCAGGCACTTTAATCTTCTCCGCCTTCCACCGACCAAACAGCCACTTGTTTAGGAATTCCATCAATTCAAGGAGGAGAAGTTGTCTGATTAAATGTTACGGGTGAATTCCTCTCCGTTGAGGGGTATTAGAAATGGGCGGGAAAGTCAGCAAAGCACAGAGACCACACAAACAGAAAACAATACACTAGCATGTCTCGATCACCATCATGTCAACCAGTTTGATCGACAAGGTTATGTTTTGTGCAAGTCAAGCATTTAGACCTGACAAAGATAACAAAGTCTAGGGATTTACTGTAGGGCTTTAAATCATATTTGGTGACATAATTGCGTGTATATAAATAATGGATTGAGATCTCCCTCATTTTACCACCGTTTCTTACTTCTATAGTAAACATGACAGCCATCACTTGATTCAGCTACAGATAAGTTAAGATACACATCATTTTCTCTCTATCACACACACCTTGTCCATCATCAATGCTACAGTATCAGGCAATACATGCAACATGATGATACAGGACCTGTCAAATATTTATTACTTTTTTTGTTTCAAATTCTCAAATTCTTAGAAAAAGATTGTATTTTTCTTCAAATTACAGGCTTGCTGCAAATATCTTCTGATGAATTACCAGTGTATCATCATGTACCTAATATGAGAACTACATTCTATTTGAATATTACCATGATTACCGGTATTATCAATGTTTCAATGCAACTATCATTCGAGTACTTTTTTTTAAATCCCAGGTTTTGATTAGTGAGTGATAAAAACTCCCACATGAATATCCAGTATGCAGTCTATCAGACAAGGTGCTTACTCTGGGGAGAGAATAAGGCCTGATAAACACACATTCACTTTACAGTGGCCATATTTTCTATCTAGGACATCTAAATCTGGATGAATGAATCATTTCCTGTGCCTTGGACCAGGTAGACTTTTCTAAACCCTGACAAAGTCCCATAGAAAAATAAACCCTCTGATAATAATAGCTGGATTTCAGTCATTGTATGGGGGATATTGCCAATACCGCACATGACCTATACTTGTAATACTTTGTACAAATACAGCTCAGATTTCCTATTGCTGAAATGATTACATTTTAGTACATTTTCAAACTTAATTAACTAAGTAAATGGTAAACTTGGATTTCAAATTCTTTGCACTTGCAAACTTAATTTACAAAGTAAATGATCAACTTGAATTGCAAATAAAATGTTAGATGAAAGTTTTGAAGACAACATTATGAGCTTTTCTGTAATTTTACCTTTTTTTTCAAAAATTGAAAACATTCAGTGACAGAAGATTGGAAAATGTTTTAAAATGATTTGCCAATCCTTTGAAATAGCTTGGCAATAAGTATCTCAACACAACTAGGGTACAAAAGAAAGTGAAGTCTATTCTTCTCTTTCTTTATAGGAGCACATTCTCCTACCAACAGGAACAATACTTGGGTAATGCTACCCAGCATAGATTTTCACTGAATCAACAGGTCCAGAAAAGCTGTCTCTGTATGCATGCCTCACTCAATGAATGGATTGGATTTCAAAAAGTCCCCATGTTATTCATGGTCGGCCACTGAATAGGGGACCTTAGAGCTATAATTGTCAGCTTTTTCTACATCAACATCTTTTATTCTTGTTGGGAAATTACTTGTGAAATTTTGCCCACTTAAAGATATCAGATCTCCAATATAAAGCTTGGCCAGAACTCTGACTGCTGTTTTGAAAGTTTGTTATTTGAGTGTTTAAAGACTACAGGTCATGCCTTGCAGTAACTCAATACTTCATTTTAAAGCATTAAGTGACAAGTGCATATCCCATGCAAAATGATAGATAAATCTTGAAAGCTATTAATGTTACAACTATGATGTAACTTTACTAACAAATTCTGACAACACACTAGAAAAGTGTAATATACCAGTTAGATTTTGTTACTGCTTACAATAGTAAAAACTAAATACATGTATTGAATTTCAAATAAAAACAGGATATGATGTCAAAGATGTTCTAACAATACAACATAGACACCATTTTAGGTACAACCACTCTATATCATGTATAAATTCCAGATTTATTTGAAAGCAGTACCATGTTATTTTTCTTGTTATATAAAAAATAAATATTTGTATTTAGCAAGGGTGTAAACTGATGTACAAAAGTGTTGCCTTCTAACACAGAAAGAACGCTTTTTCCTACAATTATCTTCTTGGCTAAAACTTTTATAACACAATCACAGTTCGAGCTGAAATGAATAGCAACATTCAATATTTGAATATTTGGGACTATTTTTCTATTCAAATATTCATCAATGTTATATATAAAGTATTTTTTTCTTAATTATATTTATACCTATACCCTTTGCAGACTACTGGGTAAGCATGTGTAACAAAATTAAATCTTTCTGTAAGAAAAACTTTACATTGAAAAACAAATTAAAACAAACTTTAACTTTCGGAAGATATGCCGATACCCTTTTTTTGCATTATGTTACTGGCCTCACATTATTTGATAGACCTGTCTAAGGTGCAAGTTTAGGAATTTGCCAAAAATTTGGTGAAAAATAAAATGCATAAATTTTCATTCATAACTGCTACAATCAGGATGTTTCAGATTGTTTGCCAATAAAAAATGCAGTAGACAGAAAAGGAAATTATATTAATGTAAATATTGGTGTTAAAAATAAAATAATTTATCCAATTAATAAATATATGTACTTTAAATTTGATTTGTCAATTGTCATAGTCAAAGAAACCATCATTACATAAAACAATCTGAATAATTCAATCAAATGGATAATACAGAAAACTTGTCATAGTTTGATAGTAAAAACGATGATTAGCAGATGGTTCAAATGCATTATTGGGGTAACAACGTCACACCCCACTAAACATGCTGCTAAACAGAGACACCCATCTCAGTGATCAGACTGTATAGATACGTGTTTCAAATAAGTAAATATATTTTAGGATTAATTATTCTTTATATGAATCAAACTCAATGTTCTGAAAAAAAGAAATATCCCAGGGATTTTTTTACCCTTTGATTCCAGGGGCCGGGGCCGTCAAGATTGGGAAAAATAGTGATATTTGGTTGAAATTGGGAAAAATATCTTCATACAAATAAATAGGAAAACACAAGCAAAAGTCAAATATTTAATCATTTTTCTTATTTTTTATAGTATAAAGCTGGCTTAAACCAACTTTAGTGATATGAAATATTAGCGGTTGTTGAAGTTCAGAAGCTTAGCAATGGCAAAGCCGCAGGGTATGATAACATCGTAAATGAACATATTTATACATTGTCATCTTTTTTACCTTTATGTAAGAAGTTCTTTAAAATAACATTTGATAGTGGGTTTGTTCCAGATGAGTGGATAATCGGTATTGTTTGACCAATTTATAAGAATAAGAGCGATTCAACCCAGCCTGAAAATTACTGTCTTAGGCAAACTGGAGAGACTGACATGATGCACGTTTATTTTTTAGATAACGATCCCGACTTTAATTTTTAAACATCGATCCCGCTTTAAAAAGTATGCATGCAAACATCCGTAGTATCCTGAATAACTTCTCAGAACTCCTCGGATGGCTCGTACATCGCACATAGAGAACATAAACACCTTTTTGTCATTATTTTATTTCAATAATTTACAACTTAATACTTTTTTTCATATTGGGAATTTTTAGGTATAATTTTGGGAAAAACATGCACTTTTCAGCATTGGGAATGGGGCCGAATTTCGGCCCCAGAGAGACCCTAAAAAAATCCCTGTATCCTGATCGGATCTCAAATATATTCAACAAATAAGAATAATTATCATTGCTCACACTCGTTTAATTTTTCTAATTATATCTCTGGTAATGCCTTTTTATACCAGATTCTAATCTAATTAAAGGAATAGAGGCGTCAACAGGTCAATAGGGACATCGACAAGCTTAAGAGAAGGATAAATTAACTAACATAGCCATTAATACTAATTATTATTATTATATGTTGTATTCAGGGAAGTACCAATATAATTTTATCAACAGATTTCAAACATGAATGTATAAGGCACGTGACTGAATATTTGAATGCTAAATTTCCATTTGAATTTTCATCATTTACTTTTCACTCACCAATATTCAAACATTCATTTCAGTTCTACATACAATCCACTGCTATTGTGACTATAATTCTTTTGACAAGGGTTGTAAATGTGTGAGTTAAGAGGGTCAACTGATGTATTGAGATGACAGAGTAACCCTGCTCTAATATGTATATGTATCAATGAACAGTATTACTGTAAGCAATTAAAAAGATTCCCGTGAATGGATATATTGTAAACCAATTACTACATGCAACAATTTTTATTTGTGATTTGTCAATTTGAAATCCATCCGGAACAATTCTGCAACTGAGACAAAATAAATTTTTTGCAGCAAGAAATATTCATAATATGAAGAAGGTCACAAAACCCAGATACTTCTCCAGGGAAAAAAAAAATTGGTTTACCTTGATGATGTTTTGCCGAACTGAGCGGTCAAACTTCTCACAGAACTCTTCAATGGCACTCAATGATTTAGATGTGCTTTTGGTCACTTTGTCCTGTTCTTGTCTATCCCGAATTTTCTCTACAATATTTTGTTCAATGTTAATTAAATTGAAATATTTTTTTCTTTTTTGAATAAAATCAAGTTAATATATTGCTAAAATACAGTTGAACTTCGATATTTCAAACACCGATATCTTCAATACCATGTATATGTTCAAGTGATTTGGAAGTCACAACCACTTATTATTTAAGTATTTTACCTCGATATCTCATAACCTTGGATATCTTGAAGTTTTTTCTCAATCCTATCGAGTTCAAGATAACAAGGTTTGACTGTATAAACAATGACCAACTTTATCATGCTTGACAATAGTACTTACACTTGTCAATAAATGTATCTATTTAAAAGCATTTACTTCTTTCTAAGAAAATCAAATTTTCTTATTAATACTGAAAATGCTAAAAGTTCTGAAATGTTTCATATAAATTTCAGCTCCACTTTGAAACCTAAAACTGTATCCCTAATGCTCTCAAAAGGTTGCAATAATAACTTCATCAAAGATACCAGCAATCAATTTAATCTGACTATCTAATTAGTAATTGGAAACTTTAGCATATCAACAGAGAAGGGATTTTGTCTTTTAAGTTTCAATTTGTCGATACAGGTTTGTAAAGGCTGCAGGTTCAGCAAGTAAAGTCCCTATTATTACCTCCCCTGTAGATCAATTGCATCAATATAAAATTTCTGGTCCTTTATATGAACCATAGAGAAAAATTACGTCAGCTATTACAAAAAGCGAAAATCAATGCCAAATTTCCTAATGCTGAGCTGATAACACTTCTGTGCACAATTTCATCCATTGAACAGGTAAAAATATCACACAAAACATTTATTTGATTTTACAAGATATATTGGTGGGCAATTATTCTCGTTTGAATAGCATTAAACTGTTTACATCCTCTGGTAAATTCATATTCAGCTGAATTGTTGCTTCTGAAATTTGAAAGGGTAATGTACCACTGATGAAAATTTTATACAATTCATTAGCAAATCATTACTTTTTTTAGTTTGCAGAATTAACAAGCCATCATTTTACAAGAAGACAGATCTGGTTCATAAATTCTGAAGTTTTACAACTCCTTAATCTTTTTTCTGACCTATATTTACACAATGTTATCCAATAAAATCAATTTACAAGACTACAAAAATTTATATCAAACATACACTTCTCCAATGATTTATTTCAACCTACTAGTATCTAACCGATTCTACACACTATATAACTTAAAAACATGGTTAAAGGATTACCGGTATATATAGCCTTGCAAAATGGATTTCTCTTTTCTCATCTAATTTGCCAATAGGTATCAAGCAATAAAAAAAACACAACCAAAATGCATTTGCATGCATAATGAAATTTGCAGTATGTTTTCATCAAAATTATAAATTCAATATCATATAATTCATTCTTTTAAAGCTCCCACAACCCCACCCTTTCACTATTTCCATTTTATTCCAGGGGCTATTGTTATTTTTTTTAGTGTATTTTACACTATGACAATGTTCATATATACTAACCTATAAGGCAGTGATGAGCATACTTCAGAGCATCCATAATAACACTCTCTATTGCGAAATTGCCCTGATATGTTCCTGAAGGTGGGTTCCGAGATAGAAAATTCTGCAACAGCTTGTCAAAGTCAGCAGGTAAATTACTAATGAGTTGGTAAGGAAAACTTGGTGAACAGAAGTTCATATCTGCAATGATGAGATCTCGAAGTAAAGGAAAGAGAGGATGAGAGCGGAAGGCATTAGAACGATCAGAAATGAGATGTTGAATGAAAGTCTGCTGGGATGCCAACATAGGTGGTCGGTGAGGTGATCCAGTTTTACAGCTCTGGCAGTTTGGCTGAGTGCAAGGGGGCATGGGGCTGGACCCTGGGGTCTGCATGCCCTGCTGTGGGTGCATGTTCATTCCTGGAGCCATCCCTTGATGAGGTGGCTTGGATTGCATTCCTGGAGTTTGGGGTCCAACCCAATTCTGTCCATTCACTCCAGGGTTCTGACACTGTAAGTTTTCAGCACTAATCGGCGTTTGTGGATTCGAATACATTGAATTGTTCATATTGGCACTTGATTGCATACGATTGTTGTATTGACTTTGTTCATAACCACCAGTCATATTTCCCTGTGGTGGACCTCCCATCATGTGAGGATTCTGCATAGGCATGCCACGTGGTCCATTATTTTGCATAGGATTTTGACAGTAATTTTCACCTGGGTATCCCTGATTAGGATTCATCATACCTGGGCCCATTTTTTGGTCCATATTCATACAGCTGTTGTTCATATTCTGGCCTTGTGGTTCATACTGATTATCACAATATCCCATTGCTATTTTGTATGCATCCGTTCTGTCCATATACATGGGGTCCCCTAATGCTTCTCCTTGTGGCATGCCACAGTTTGGTCCAGGTCCATCAAAATGCCTCAGAGGCTGCATTCCTATAGGAGCACCTCCTGAACAAGAAGGTCTGTAGCCAGATTCTTGAATCTCACTTTGTTGTGGATGTTGCATAGAATTATTATAATTGTTGATGTGCATTGAATTCTGATTATCATCCACATTAAACATTTCACTAGGCTTTTGTGAAAAATAGTCATTTTGCATAGAAACCATTGGATTCTCGCCACTGCCTGGTCGACTATTGCTTCCTCTGGAGTAGTCTCCATAAGGACTCATGGAACCATTGTTATTGCCAGGCACCATATATGGAGCAATATCAGGTTTCATGGAAGGTGTTAGTCGAGGCATGATCTTTGATGGCACATTTCTCTGACTAAACTCATTCTCTAAATCACAGTCACTGGACTCATAGCCCTGATTGTACCCTGCCGAGTTCTGTCTCTGGATAGACACCCCATTTTGGTGATGTCCCTGCAGATCACTAAAGTGTACATTTTTTTGTTGTTGAGGAGGCATGTTCTGCAGTGTCTGTCGGTTGTTGAAGTTTTGATTGTGAATGGCAGTCTGAGCAGACGAGGCAGAGGAGGGGACAGTTGATGATACTGATGATGACCCATAACTCCTCACACTGGCTGTATCCCCTACAATTAAATGCTGGAATAATTAATATTAATATCTTAATTTCTCTCCCACAAACCAACAGGTATCATAATGTTGCATGTATGAACTCATCCCTTTTTCCCCAATATTTCCTGGAAAGAATATCCTATGCATATCCAGTGCATACAATAAACAAATAGAAGCCCCAAAAATATTTTTAGCAAAGTATTTTAAAGCAAAATTAAGAAAGAATTTCCTCTCTTTCAAATGTCATTCAATACCACAATGTATAAAGATAGATAGAAAATACTGCAGATAAAAACTTGCTATATCTCAAGCTAAACAATTTGAAACCCTACAAAAAAAAGGTCTCTGCTTTTATCTTATGTATTATGCGTATTTCCCCACCTTCTCTTAAAGTTAAAAAAAAAAACGGAGATGAAAAAGTCTGTACTATTCATGCACCCTTTAGTAACACTAATATAATATAATAAAAGGACATCCAACTTTAAACAAAACTAAAGGTACTGTGAGCACTAAGCTTTCAAAATGATACCCTCCCAACCCCCAACTCCCATGAGTATAATGGCAAAGACCATTTTTGGCTATAAGAAACCCAAATATCTGTCTGAGCAGGACATAAAAATAAGAGGTGCACAACTGCAATGTATTTCTAAGATTCTGTGAAAATTCTAAGGAATTTTATTCGGTGGTATAGGAAGAGTTGTGGATACAAGAAGGGTATCCCCCAATATTATGGAAATAATGGCAGTGTCCTGGTTTTGCTAAGGGACACCCCAAATATCTGTCTGATTGAAATGAAAAAAGGTGCACAATGGCACTAAGTGATAAAGATTCTGTGAAAGTCTCATTAAATTTTATTCAGTGGTATAGGAGTTGAGGATAAGAGATTGGTACTCCCAATATTTTAGAATGACAGTGTCCAGGTTTTGCTATGGGAAACCCTAAATATCTGTCCAATCAAAATGGAAAATAGGAGGTGCAAAATGTCACTATGTAATATAGATTCTGTGAAAGTCTCATTAAATTTTAATCAGCGATATAGGAGGGGCTGCAGATAAGAGATGAGTACACCCAAGTATTATTGACAAGCACCCCCATCAATATATACCACCCCCCTTTTTTCAAGTGGGGAGGGGGTTAATAATGAAAAGGCATATATATATTTCTTATCAGCAAAGATGAAGGAATACAAAGGTTTTAATACCTGAATAATATCCATTGTCACATGATTCCATTGACCTCTGAAACTGCTGATTTGCAGGATACCCCATATTGTTCATAGAACACGGCTGATTTCCCATCATGCCATTCGGCATCTGACCATTAGGTGGACCTGTCCACTTCTGATGCTGGGGCATGTTCTGTATGTTAACATTAGGAGGGGCTGGTCTCCCCAGTCTCTGGTAGTTGTGTTGGCTATTCTGCCTTTGCATGTGTGGTGGGATAGACTTAGGTGGGGCCATCTGTGTCTGTGACTGAGATTGGTGAAATTGAGGTGGCATGGATTTCTGTGAGGGGGAGGAAGGCACACTGGCTGGAGAGTAGGGTCTCTGTACCTGTGGCCCTACAGTACTTGATATACTTGGTGAGGCAACACTTTGTTGAGACTGAGAGGAACGTCTAGGTGTAGGTGGAGTGGGCGGTGCTTTGAAGACTCCTCCATGAGGGGAAAGTGGAGGAGCAGTGGTCCGCACAGGACTTGAAGGCCCTGATGTAGAATGATGGAACCTCTTTGCTACAGGACTGCTTGATCCACTGGAAGTGGCTACTGTACAGTTTGTGCTGGAGGCCACAGAGTAAGTAGTTGTTGGACTGCTGCATCCTCTGGATGTCCATTCACTATTCTTTGGAGTAGATGTCACTTGAGTTTGTGAAGCTGGGACTGAAGTCAGACTACTGTGAGGATGTGCTGCTGGTGTTGGAGCCACTGAAGACAGTGTGTTCCTTATGGCCTCTGGAGTCATGTATACCTGGGGATCCACCATATCTTGCTCCATGAGGAATTCCACAAAATCAAGCTCCATTCCCTCTTTCATTCCAATGTCTTCACAAATTTCATCCAGCAGCTCATTTGGCAGACGCTCATCAGCAATTTCTACTGGGGCTGGAGTGGGTGAGGATGGAGTGGTGGGTGAGCCCAAATTGTCCATCCCTCCATTGTCCATGCTGTGGACACTGGATGCCCCAGGACTGACAGGAGCCTCCCTGTACTCCATCATCTGAAACACATGAAACAAAAAAACTTAATGTTAGCATGCAGCTATGTTGCAGAAAGTTCACAGATTCATTTCTTATACACCTTTTTCTAGCAAAATACAGGTCAGACATGATATAGACTGTGTTAATAAGGACTCCTCCAAGTCAGGCTGACACAGGTACAGGTAAGGCTATACCAGATAACACTTAGCATTGTTCAAGCTTCCTAAGCTAAATATTTATTCTTTCCTATTTATCAAACTATTGCTGAAAATTTCATCTCCAGAATAAACAAAGACATCTCTAAGAGACTTCAGTTCAAACCACAATTTGAAAGACACATTCTTATGACCTTTGTATGAAAATAACCTGTTATTATAAACCTATAACATGTTATAATAATTTTTTTTATTGATCTTTGCTGCCAATATCTAAATGTGGTGAAAGATAAAAAGGTTACTTTATGGTTGATAACATAATTAATATCTTAATTTATTAAAATTCTAAAAAGTCTGGGTTAAAAAAAATATTGATAAATATCATATAAATACTGATGTCACTTGTATATATTTTCCACATTTTTATGATATTTATGATGAAAATATTGACATGGACTTAGAAATTACTTGCCTATCACATAATTTTTAGTTCTAATTCGATTGTTGTAGCAATTAGGCAGGCTTGTAAGATTTATAAGTATAAATCTGGATTAAGATTCCTTATCTAAGTCAGGGGAGAAATCCCTGGATCTCCTAGGGAGATCCCAGGGGTTCATCTTTATAAGAAAATCCACTTATGAATTTTCATGTTCTTAATTTCTAGAAACAAAAAGACCTCCTAGATAGATCAAAGTTAAGCAGGGTTTTACAGTTATAGAAGGGGACAAGGAGTTAGAAATGTGGGAAACAGGTCCAATTACAACACTTAAACCAAGGAAAAAGTCACTCTATACAATTCACATAAAGGACCTCTTAAGATTTTGTGTTTTGCTGATACATGTACGTTCCAGATTTTGCTATGAGTTGTTTTGTAACCGCATAAGTAGTGGAAAAGTAGCCTTTTTAAAGACCTATAATGACTTCTACTCTGTATACTTGTGAGCCAACTGTAAATTAATGATCAATATAAGTCATAGGTAACCTCTTAAAAATGAAGGGAAAGGGCTGTATAATAAGAAAATTGATAATTTTTACATTTCCCTCTAGTTATTTTCACACCTTATCAACACACGATCAATTAATTTATTTCTAGACAAGACACCTTTCTTTTAAGTATAATCACTTATATGAGTTTCTTGACGGTGTTTTTGCTTGAAGATGTATGTAATGTATTTTTTAATTATTTTCTACTCTAATGATAAATAAATGTGTCAAATATTTTGAGAAAACAATTTTGTCTGTTGACAAATTTCTTGGAGGTCCCACTGTAAATGCGATGTGCTACTTGAGGGGATATTTACATATATTCAAATTAAATCCAAGCACTAACAATTTGCACATTCCTTGAAGGACAGGAAAAAGAGTGACGTCTTAGTTTACAAACCAAGAGTGACCAAAAACCACAAGGATTTTCTCATAGGAAAATGACAGATTCAAGTAAAATGTTTATCAAGGGACAAACACAGTTAATCAATTCAAGACAAGCCTCACCATTTACATTTGGTTCCCAACCTGCCCCTTATATTCTAAAGAATTTACCCAAACAAACAATGAATAAGTGTTATAATCAAACTGTGGACAGATTAGAGCCTCTATATAAACTACTTCATTACACCACCAATCTGAAAAGCAAGCAACACCAATTTGAATGCTAATGATAACATTCACAAACAGAAGCAAAAAGCTTGAATTTTTACTAGAAGACAATTAAAAGTGTTAATTTCATTAATGATCCCTTGCATGTAACAGCAGATTACATAACCTGTCTCTTTACATGTCTGGCTAGCCTAAATAAACAAACTTTATAGCTATGTAAAACATGTAGAAACCTATGTACTTGTCCAGCAGATTTGATGTATGGACAAATAAAACACAGCCCATGACATCATTTAGGGAAAGGGTTTTTTTTTATTAGTCTTGCCCTGGTCAGTCATATACATCAGATTTTTTTCAAAATATAAGCAGCAAAACTGATGGCCTTGTTTGTAGCTGCTGGCAGGGGGAGATTTTTTGGCTTTGGTGGGAGACATTGTGCAGACATTGAGTGATTGCTGAGCTGTTATTCTTTCAAACCAGAAACATATGCCTGGCTCCTGTTCTGACTCTCTGTCTAACATGACTGGGGCACTTGTTCTCTCCGTCTATCAGTAAATACTCATCAAACTATCTCCACAAATCTTACTCACAATTTTCAGATCCTATGCAAAACACACAGAGTATTTTATAATTTCTTCAAACACATACATTCAACATTAAAAAAGTTAGGAAACAATTATTAACACCCCTAATCTTTAATCTCTCACTATCTTTAAACTACTGCAGTCACAATCATCCTACTGAATGCGGGTGGTTACGTTCCGACTACTTGTTCGACCCGCGTGGTTTCGACACGAATCCATGTTCGACCCGAGTGGTTTCGTTCCAAAGCAATTAATTAACAATTAATTGCTTCCGAACGAAATTAATTAACACTTTCAACAGTTTTACATTTTATTTTTTCGTCTACATTTTTTTTTTATATCGACCACGTATATTTGTGTTAATTATCGTATGTAATTTAATTTGGAGAAACCTACATTAATGTTTAGACAGTGCATATGTAATCACGGTACATTGATGAAGTATTTGATTAATTTTTATGGAAAACTGTTCAAATATAATTCATTATTAAATCAAATTCATCAACATCCATGCTCCGCGATAGTAGAAAAAAATGTTAGGAAACCTTCTCACTGCATGTTGACTACACATTATACGGAAACAACTACCTATATTGACACCAGGGACCTATATACTAACGTTAGTATATAGGTCCCTGTTGACACGTACATCTCTGAAGCCATACAATATACAGCTACCGAATATCCATTTGTTTACCGCACAGTGTATACCCCTGTACTCAGGTATTCACATGTAGGGATATACATTAGAGTAGGTCGAAACCACTTGGGTCGTAACCACGCAGGTCGAACACGGAATCGGAACGTAACCACCCGACACCATCCTACTCCACAATCTCCCTCTACTGAGTCAATGAAGAAAACTGCTCTATAATTGATTAAAAAGCATGGGAAGAATCGTGATTTCAGCAAATCTTAGTACCTGTGGCAACCAAATACAGGCAAGAGATCATGAAGGGTGCCCTGTTAATGTCAGCTTATGTTAATGTATATACTTATAAACCTGAGATTCCCTTAACCATGACAAATTTTATGGTATCAGTTTAGCTTACTTCACAAAGCCTCCATGCTTCATGTAATTATCATCAATATCCTTTTGTTACATCAGCTCTTATTTCAGCTAATTCCATTTCTCTTTAAGCTGACTATCTATTGAAGTTTCAATGCATTCCTGCATTCAATCATTTCCTCTCAAGAGGATTCCTAACCACCACACTGTCAAATTGACCATTATTCTTGGCTGAATGAAAGTGAGGGTCAAATAACATAATTTTTAATTGATATATGAGTATGGTTTCCCTGAAGACCATAAAGTAAAATGAAAAATAAATTTTAGCAACATCATTTTGCAATACAATTAATAGACTGTGCAACTAATTCCAGGTTTTGTGTATTATTCAAATTCTGCAACTAAGATATAGCAGGTATAAAAACTATAATCAAAACATTATTCCTTTCAATAAACCACTGTTCAAGGCTTATTATGTATTCATTCCCACATTACATGCTCAACTTGTTTTATTCTCATCACATGCAGGTTCTTATGAAATATGCATCTACTTTTACAAAGCATGTTTACTCCATCATAATTTATCTGACATCTTTTTTACGTACACATTTCTGTAAATAATTGTAAATCTCCCTGTACCATGTGACTGTTAAATACATGACATGATTTTACCTCAGACAACGGACTCTTGTCATCACAATACAGATCACCCAGGGTGAGATTGGTCATTTTCATCTTCCTGGCCTTGAATTGGTCATCCATACAGTATACCAGAGAATTACTCAGCACTAAATACAGTTAATACCCGAATAATCAGGTTAACGGAGCACTAAAATCCATAACCAAAACTGCACATTACAACACCATCTTATAAATCTTTAACTGCACAATACAAGCACTATACAACACACTGGTCACTTCCTGTTCAGTTGATGAGAAGAAGATAATTAACCTGGATCAATTAGACAGCTCTTTACTTATTGTTTTTCAGTATATCATCTACACTAGACTATATGTCTATCTCGGTATTATCACAGTATTCATCTTCACCAGCATGCTGACTTGGACACTGTGTTTGTTTACCCTATACATTGGGTGGTCACTTCTCATAAACAGCAGTTAATCCTCAGTCAAACTCAAATGAATCACATGTTATCAAGCACAGTCACAATAATTAGGTCAGTATGTCCCAAAAATTAAAAAATGGCTTGAATAATTTCCATTTCCACTCTTTTCAATATACAAATATATGATGTCCAATACTACACATGGGTATCTAAACAAAGTACAACAACAGAGTTTGAACTATGCTACATGGGCTCTGATTGGCTCAAGGCTAGACAGGATAACCAATAGAATTTCTTATCTCCCATACAATGCCCTGCAACACCTGTTCCAAAGCCAGCTGTTAGAATAGTAAGGCAATAATTCCTTTACATGAAAGCTTCTAATATCAAAGTCCCACAGGGATTTTAAAATCAATATAACAATAAAAAGGTATTATTACTTAAGGATATTTTTGCTTGTTTAATTTTGAAAGAAATTTTATACAAATGTTTTAATAATGATGTAATGATTAGATTATATCACTAAAAAGAAAAAAAAAATAAAGTAACAATAAAAAAGTTCATTAATTTTCTATCTTTAACATTATTATGAGAATGAAACTGACAGGA